GCTAGTGAATGAATATGTGTGTATATTTCAGTTAAAATCCATCCAAGAGAAATGATAAGCTTTTTTCTATTTCAGTATTATTTCTGGTTTGCAGTCTTGTTTTGTTTCTATCTCCAAATTTGATATGCGCATTGTTTTTTGTTTGGTTTTTTTTATGTACTTCAATAGTTTCGGAGTGAGAAGAAAACAAAATGGTGTTTCTTAAATACACATTTTTTATTAACAGGAGCCTGGGTCTGGAAATGTAAGTCAAAAATCTGATGAAGATGACTTTGTGAAAGTTGAAGACTTGCCCCTCAAACTTGCAGTGTATTCAGAGGTATTTTGCTATTATTGTGGGATTGTCGTTTACAAGTGCATACCATAAATGTCTGTGTTACCCAGACAGCAGTAAGAATTATCTAGAATTTTCAGATTTGCTTTTTCTGTTACAAAGGCAGATATAATGAAGAAAATGGAAACAGAGGCCCAAACCAAGAGTTTGTCTGATGAATTACTGGATGGAGGTGGAGCTCAAGATCAAGAATTAGTAGGAGATGCTCAAACATTGAAAGAACCTGGTAATTTTTTTCTATATTCTGCACACATATTGGGAAAACACTCTGGAATACTACAATATAAATGTTGCTGATTGAAGTAAGCAGTTACTGTAGTGTGGTGAAAATACTGGGTTTTGTTATCATACATTTGAAAGTGTTACACTGATATGAAGAGATTGCTGTCCATCTCACTTCTATATACTGTTTTAGTTTCTGTGGCTGATAAAATCACAACAATTAATATACTTCAAGTGCCTGTCACAATATAATGGTTTTGAAACTTATTCAAATGGAGCGGTATTTTTGTTTCTTGCTTCACAAGCTTGGGTTTAATGATACTGTAAATTATAATTTCTCTTATCTGATTTAATAACACTCAGTATAATTTCCTGACAGGCTGCTCGCCCTTTTGTGATAAAAATATTCAAGAGACTTTTCAGAATAGTAAAACATCTCCTCAGGGAGAAATAAATTATTTTTCATGTGAAGTATACTATGTGGTAGAAAAAAGTTCCAGTGTGTATGATAGCAATAAAATTTATCACTTTCACCAAGTATTTTTATGCAGATACAAAAACTTACTGATAATACAGGTCAGAGAAAATGGTTTTTGTGGGTTTTTAAATTTTTTTTTTTCAGTCAGAAATCAAGTCACATACTCTCATGGGATAAATTGCTTAAGTGTGTAAGAGTACAAATAACTGATATTTTACTTCAACATTTTGAAGCAAATTGGGTTTTTCTATAATATTGTGACAGAATTACAGTATTAAAGACTTCTATTTTATTGTTAGACTTGTAATTCTCCAGTGGAGTGTATGGTAATGGCATATATAAAGGGCATGAACTGGGTATTCTGATAGTATCAGTTTTCTGCTAGTGTGCCTCCTTCCAGTTACTCAAATAGTATAAGCTGATGAACCTGCTTTTTATTTAATGCATTTGCAGTGGCAACACAGATTTTTTCCAGAACAAAGTGTGAGGAAAGGTGCATCTTTCCTTCCATTTCAGTCACTGCGTTTTCAGCATTCTGCTTGTCCCAGCTCTGCCAGCACAAGCCTGTTGTGCCCATTTGGTGGATACTTATGCCCAGGGGCTGCTGTGGGAACAGTCTGACCAAGAGTGCCATGCCACACCAAAGCTCTAGCTAGCTCTAAGCCATTCCTAGTCACTGTATAGGAGATGTGGCTGTAACTGTTCAAGTAAGCCATGGCTCAAAGTGCTTGTGGGGATGAAATAGCAATTGAAATGTGGTCATGAGCTGTTTCATACCTTGTAGATATTAAAAAATTATTTTATTCTTATTTTACAGAAATTTTTGGAGCTCAAAATGCATAAGAATTACCCAAGATGTCTGCATTTATAAATGCTGTGTCTACAAATGCATATGGAAGATCAGTACTAATTTCCCAGAATTCTGGAAGTGTAAAAAAATGTAAAATTTTTAACACACTGCCTCTTAGGATAGGTATGTGATCTTCTGCCTGTGGCAGTTTAAACAGCTGGAACTGAATCCACTTCTATTCAGTTTTGCTGCACAGTTCTTTTTCTGTCTTAATTTTTTATTTTTTATTGTGACTTGTTTGGTAATTTTAAAACTGTTCGAAATGGTAGTTTTAAATAAAGTTTGGACTTGTCTGTAAGTTTTCTCTTTTGAAAAATTTTCTTTGGCTTATAAACTGTTATGCCAGAGTTTGTTGCCCGAAGTTAATTAACTTGTTGGTATGCTTTTAGCAGTTTGTTCTTCTCTTATGAGAAACACTGCTAATTTTTCTGGGACAAGAAATTCCCCACGTTTCTTGCATCTTCTCAAAATACAAGGTATAGACACAGTACATACTTGTGTGTTGTCTTTATAGTCTAGAGCATAGCTTGTCTGTAACAAAAAAGTTCCTGTTCATGGCCTGTGGATTTCCTTTCTATCAGCACATTTATCTGAGGTGAAGCTGAATACCCCAGGTTTGTAGTTAACTGCAGAAACCAACTGTATTTTTCTGCATTTGCTGAAAACTTTTGATGTTCAGGAGTAAACCTGACTGAAAATGTTAATATCCTTTCATAGCTGACACTTAAAATTGCTGCAATTGAAGGTCTGGAGAATCTGTTCTAAAGTGTTTGACTTGAATTGTAGTTTCCTAAATTTCATTACAAAGTTAATGTTTTTAAAAAACAATTGAAGTCAGCACCTGCTGGAGTCTCATGATAAAGGTAGAATTAGAATTACAGAAAAGTAGATTGGAAAACTTTGTTCAGTTTTTCCGATCAGAGTTGCTAAAACACTAAGTTATAAAACTGAGCTAGAAGAAGCTTATTCAGCAGACCTGCTGCATTATAAAGATCCTTTTTACCTTAAACATAAGGCTTTTCTGAAAGTAGTTAAGAGCACTGGTTATCTTTGATTCAGGATTGTGTTGCTTTTGAGGTTAGTATGGTAATACAGCTATATACTGTGGGAGACAGTATAGTGATGGTGAAGCCTAAATATGCTTGAAGTTTAAATAAAATGAGATTGTAATTCTTCTGTGATTTTTTTTTTTCTAGTTTGTTTGGAGTGTCTCCAGGTTTTGTGAATGAATTTTGAATTGGCAGGTTATGGTCACATGCCTCTCATGTCCCAGGATGAAAGTACATTAGCAAAAGGTTTGAAGATAGTTTAGTTACTCTTCAGGCTTTAAACTGCTGGTACTACGGTAGGCAGGAAAAACATTACCATCTTGAGGATGAAGAAAATACATTGTGACAAAGGCAAACCTGTGAGACTGAAACTTCTAATCAAACTTCTAATTACTAATTTATCCCAAGAATCACTCAGCCTGAAAAGATGACATTTTTTATAAAGTAGACTGAGAGTGTGTGCAGCTTTGAGAAAAGGCTAGTTTATGTGTTGAGTCATTAAAATCTAAGCTTAAGAAAGAGCCAAGCACACTTCATTCCTGAATTCTTGCACTGGAATGATGGGTTGCTCACTCCCCAGCCAGTGGGCTCAGAGAGAGAAGCAGAAGAGTGAAAACAAAATAATTCATAATTGAAAGAAAGATTAATAGGTAAAGCAAAAGCTACACATGCAAGCAAAGTTAAATGGCAAACAAGTGTTAAGCCACCTCCAGGAAAACAGGGCTCCATGATGCATAACAAAGACTTGAGAAGACAAATGCTATTATGCCAACTGTTCCCTGTTCCTTCTTTGAGCTCTATACAGTGAGCATGATACCCTGTGAGGTGGAATAGTCCTTTGGTCAGTGTGGGGTAGCTCTCCTGGCTGTGTCCCCTCCTAACTGTTGCATTCCCAGGCCTTCTCATTAGGGGCACAGAGTGATGAGCAGGAAAGTCTGGACTCTGTGCAAGTGCTGCTCAGCAGTAAGGAAAACAACTCTGTGGTATCAACACTTAGATTCAAAACAGCCCCACACCAGCTACTGAACAGAAAATTACCTGTCAGAACCAATGATCTGTGTACATGAAAAATGCATTCAAATAGTATTTCGTTGATCACACCTTCTCTGTACTGTTTCATCATGGAATGGTCAGCAGGAAGCTCTCAAGGTCATCTTGTGCCAGCAGGGCCACTTAGAGCTGTTTGCCCAGGTGGCTTTTGAGTATCTTCAGAGAGAAGACTCTGAAGATACCCGAGCCTACCACCTCTGTGGGGAACCTGTGTCAGTGTATGTCACCCTTACAGTGAAGTGTTTCCTAACATTCAGAGGGAACTTCCTGTATTTGGCATTGTGCCCTTCTAGTCTATTTTCATTATCCCTTGCTCAAGTAGTAGAACTGCTGATTATTAAACTCTCACTTATGCCTAATACCAGTTCTTCTACTCATTTAGTTCATTTCAAGCATAATTTGTTTCCTGCTTAAAAAGAACATTGGGGAGTATGGGAGTGAAATGGGAGAAGCAGGGTCTTGTGATTAATTCATTGCTTGCTCCCCTACTGATCTGGATCAAAATGAAATTTTACATTTTTCTGTCCCATGCCCCTTGCACAGTTTACCACTCAAGACAGTTCTGTAGTGCCCTGAGTATGAAGAATTGGAAAAATTACTCATAGGAAGTTCAGAGGCCAGAGTTGCTTCTCGTGTATTACTAATACAATTTAGTAATAGCTCTTCCCTTATAAGGAGGTTGCCGTGGGACACCTGTCCTTTACTGTTGTACAGTGAGTGACATAACAAATGAGTATATGGAATTAACGGGTATGGAATAAAACCAAGTTATACTGGATTTGGACTCACTTTCACTACTGGAAGTAACTGTTACTTCTGGGAGAGAGGTGGAATTAATTTATTTCTTATTATAGATTGCATCACTGCTTTTCAAATATTATTTTAATCAGATCCAAATTTATCCTGAAAAAATTCATGCTCCAAAACTAATTACATCATCCACAAAGTATAAGCATTACAACAACAAACAACACTTGCTGTGGCTGCAATGATAATATTTGAACTGTAGTTACCTACTACAGGATTACCATCTTGATTAAGAGCAAGTTCAAACAAAACCCTTCAGTGGTAAACTTTGAAGAACATAAGTCAGAAGCCTTCATCCATTCTGTACAAGGTTGGCTATTCGTACAGTTGTAGTTAATCAAAGACAGACTGGAACATTTCTTGTCCTACTTTTATATAAGCATTTCTCTCTTCATTTGTCATGAGAGACACAAGCTCTGGGTTTTCACTAACTTGGCCATATGAACAGGGCTGACCAGCTACCATTAAAATAGGACCCTCAGTTTCCTGTTCCTCCTCTTGTTCAAAGTTGCTATCTATTACTTTGATTGCTCCCCTTGAGTGCTTGGCATCCTCTTCAAACTCACTGCTATCACTCTGTGATCCATGTAGTTTGCTTTTGACAATAGGAACCTGGTCTGTGCTAGATAATGACTTGGATTCATGCATCAGAAGAGTCTTGATGATTTCATTATCCATGACAGTTTCTTTAACATTTTCTTCAGTTTCTTCGTAAGCATTTACTCCTAATACACAACACTAAGTGTTAAAGGGATCAGTAATTTACAGTTATCACAGGCATCCTACATAAACTTTTTTCTATTCTAGATCTTTTTTACCCACACTAGAATTCTCTTGAAAATACAGAAAATACAGACATTTCTGAGAGCTTTCCACTGTAAAAATTACCACTAAAACTATGTCATGGCTAAAGCCAAAAGTTTTAGGACACACTTAACCTCTGTCTTTAGGAATATAACCTCAATCAGTCTTAAAACTAGATTTTGAAAACTAATGTCTGATAACCACTAACACAGAATTGAAACATTATCTTCTAAACCAAGCTCACTACATTTTCAGTGGGAAAGCTGTATTTAACTGCATTAAGGCTGCAGAATTAATTTGTGAATTCACTAAACTTACCAACACTATTGTTGATGGCTGTTGCTGCTCCTTCCACAGTGCTTTGTGACAACCAGATAGGTTGCTTTTCAGTTGCTTTTTCTCTTTTCTTCTTGTGCTTTGAGTCTTGGACATCAATAGTTAAGTTTTGGGTGTATGTGAGGCCAAAAGCAGAACTTCTATGTGCCCATTTTTCAGGGCGGCTGCAGGATTCCAGCACACTTGAGCCCAACTTTGGATCAAAGCTGAATGAAGTGTTACATTTTGAAGAGGTAGAATTCAGGCAAGACCCCCTCCCCAGTTCCCATTAAAAAAACCCTGAACAACAATCACAAAGAAACAAACCCCAAAAACATGTTTTGTCAGCAGACTAACTTTAAGAAGTGCTCTAATAATTTATACATTGCCTTTTACCTGTCAGAGGCAAGTGACTCTGAACCATTAATTTTTTGCAAGGTCTCTTCAGTAGTGCATCTCTGGATGAATCACACTGAGAGAAATGTTAATTCCTTATAGAAAGGGCTATGAACATTAACTGAAGGAGTAATCTGGGAAATAAATTACTTTAAAAATGTATCAAAAAATTAATAAGGTATAGCATGCCTTAGATATTACAGACTTCTTCATTATAAACAGCTGACTACTGAACAAATCAGAATGGAGTATATAGATTGCAAGTTCAGTATTTCAAGGACTTTACAACTGTTAAGTTGTTGGGGTGATTTGTATTGATCAGAAGTTCTAGTGTGATGTTCTTACCTTTCTGATAATTCTGGCATTTCTGTTGGCTGAGGCTCCAGCAAGTCATAGGGCAGCACAATATCTTCGGTCTCACGCAGCAGCATGAAGACAGGCTCCATCTGCTCGTTGAACTTGGCCAGCAATGTTCGAGCATCGCACTTTGGAAACGCTGAGCCATCTTCCTCTACTTCAGTGTTGCAGTAAGTGCAGCGAAAAGTCTCTGCAACATTTTCCAAAGTGGGAATTGTCATGTACATAGAATGCAAAAAGATCAGCAGGATGTTGTTAAGCATCCTGCAGCCTGGACATTTACCCAGACTCTGACCCAGACTCTGGCCTTACCCATTTGTTCACATTAACTAGGGGAACTCAATTCTACAGGCAAACTTGAGACAGATTGGTATTATACCCTTGTTATGCACATGAGAAATGTCTCGGGAGAGAAATTTAAGCTGGATAGATATGTGCTATCATTAGTTTATTTTCTTCTCCTCCAGTCTCATCTTCTCAGTTCTTAATGTAACAAGACATTTTCAAGCATAAGTAGCATCTGGTTTTAGTTGTTCCAGAGTCAATATGCTAAAACCCCATATTTATTCAGGAAAACAGACAAACCTTCAAGCTTATTCTGTAAAAATATATCACCAGCTTCAATGTTTGCATTTTAGTAACTCAACAGAGTCCCTCCATTTAGAAAAAAGGAATGATTTTGCTAACTGGCAGAACACAAATTTCACCATTGGCATTTCAGGTTAGTCATATATAAAGCTCATTATGCCTGGTTCTGGTATCCTTTGCAGATCCCATGACCCAGATTTCAGTGCAGTTGCTGTGCTCTAAGTAATGTATTGCACTATGATGCCATTTTGACTAATTTTGAAATAATACTCTTTAGTTATTTTGGTTTTAGGGAAGAAAAATCCACAAGCTCTGACACTACTGCTGTGGATGTGTTGTGTTGACCCGTGAGGAGCCTGAGCTTCCCAACCCAGGAGTGACAGAGCAGCTCTGCTGTGGTGCCACTGAACCGCAAGATGCTTAGTACAGTAGGTGACTGCAAATGGTTTTACCCATCTTGCCCAACTCGTCCGTCAAAAGGACTGACCACACAAATGGATTAACCAAGAGATTCAAAGCAGAGTAAAGACAGTACTGTGTTCATATTTCCATATGAGGAAGCAACACTCACAAGACTTGGATGAGTTAAGATTACTCAACCAGGTTCAAAGCAAAGCTGAGGCCTGGAATCTGATTCTCAACCCCAGTTTGTACATTCAGGATGAATCTTCCTTATGTTTAGCATGTTCTACAGAGGCAGCACTTCTCTTATCCTCACCTCCCAGCATCCTGTTCCAGACCCTTGTCCACAGGCAAACAAGAAGCATATTCTAACAAACATGCTTTCATTGCAAAGTTCACTTAGGAAACAATTTTATGCTATTAGGGCTATTCTTTAAGATAACAGCAAATAAGCAATATAAGTAACACACCTGTAAATGCATCAAAGAGCTGATTGACTTCAAGGTCTGTGTACTTGTTAGAGCAAGATGGACATTTAAAAGAGGATCTGGTTGTTGAATCCCGCTCATCTGCTTCTATTTTCCTGCGCACATGATCCAGTTTGTATTTTACCACATCCACCAGAACCTTATAATTGATGTAGTAGTAATTGTGCCTCGTGCTCTTCCCATTAGGCCCTGTTTCAGCTCGCATCCGCAGCTTCACCAGCTTGTCCGCCTTGAGCGTGTTGAGGGCAGTGCGCAGTTGCTTGCGCTCGTACTTGAGCAGCTGTAACAAGTCCTCCTCTTTCACACAGGGGTAGCGGATCAGCACGTCCAGGGCCAGGGAGCACTCCACACCATAGAAACCACGCACTATGTATTTGGCCAGGCGCTTTAGGGCTGCTGGCACCTCGCTGGGTACGTTTTGCTCCTCCATCAGGACCTGAACCTCTGTCAGTAGAGAAGTGCTATAAAACAAAAAGAAGGGAGGTGAGCTGCAGCAAACCCTTCTTACATGTCACAGGCAGGTGTAAAACGTCATTTGCTGTGCTGCACTTCTGCAAGAGTCTTCACTGAATAGAGGACTGTAAAATCCTTAACCTGCATTCGGGGTGGGAAAGGTATTAATAGATATTAGAAATTATCAAATCTTGAAGTACAATGGTTATCCCTGAAATATTGATAGCTTATTGTGTAAAAATCCTCTTTGTGTAAAAAATGTGTGAAAAGAAGATACCTAGGAAAGCGTGTTACAGAAAGTTCATCATTCTCCCAGAAGACAGCACATTTAATTTGCATGTCTACGTCTGCCTGTTTGCATCCACAGCCAGCCAGGTAAGAGCAGAAGTAAAAGTAAAGCCTTCAAAAATAAAGCTCAGGACAAAAAAATCTTAGTTGAAACTGTGTCTGCCTCAGTGGCAAAGCCACAAGAGGCATTTGAACACCTGTTCACGCAGTCTTTGTGGTATTTCTGCTGGCTGCTCTGATCAGACAAATATTTTGCAAAGCCGGGGCACAGGATGCTCCAAGTTATCTGGCCCTCACAGCACATTGTATTTGTGGTAGCACATTTTACCCCTTAGTGCTCTTCTCACCTACAGTGGGACTTCTGGCCATATTCCTAATCTTATTAATGAGAATGTAACTATTTTTAATCAGTCCAACTGTCCTAACAGTTTCTTATTTGCAAGGAGGGAGAAGAAAAAAATTAGAATGTGTTCCAACAAAGCTACATGCTAATTTCCTTCTCTGAGGCATGTTAAAATCCTACAGTAGTATTTGACACCACTGCCTCTAGCCCAGATGGTTTTGCAGTGAGCCATGCAATGCACAGCCAGAGTGCTGGTGCAGCCACTGGGTCAGGAGCTGGGAGGGTACAGGATGGCATGTTATGGCACACTACATCCAGCCCTGGCACCCACTGCAGTGGCTGCTAAAGCTCCAGCCCAGGTAACTGCATCTTGCTATCAGACCTTCCAGGGAACCTTTATTAGAAATCCTAGTTAAAAAAAGAGAGCCACTTGCACTAGCCTAGTAATTAGGCCATAATTAAATTTGCACTTCACAGGGTACACCTTATGGAAAACAAAGACAATGGAAACCTGCTGGTCTGAGTCTGGAAACCCTGAAGGTGATGACCTAAGTTTCCTACAGGAAAAGTGAGGGAGCTCTGGAATGGGCTATACAGGAAAGAGGTTGAATCTCTGGACTTCAACAGGACAAGAGCTGCAGCAACTGACTTGGCTTTGAGAGTAATTTTGCCATGAGAAAGGGACCAGATGGCCTCCAGATCCTCCTCCTAACCTAAATTCTTCTGTTCCAAGAGAGTTACAGTTAACAACAGTAAGGAGTGAAGCTTTGGCAAAGTCAGCCTGTTCCTTGACAATCTTTCTCAGACTAAGAGCAGCATTTCTGTGCATTTTGGCAAAAGCCTTCATGAATAAGCGCTTTTAAAAAGTTTTTCTTTTTGTTGTTGTTATTATTATTATTATTATGTTATTCTTTCACTCCTCCTTTGCCCTCATCTTCCAAAAGTGTTCAACAAATTAAAAAAAAAATGCTAACTTATGCTTCTCTTTCTGGCCTAATTTGGAACTTTTTTTTCTGTGCTTGCTTTATAGTTAGCAGTAAGGAAACAACAGACAATGTTCTCAGCCAGTTCCAGAGAAGAGTAGCATGGCTTTGAGTTTCCTCAGGGAAGCGCTCTGGAAAACACTCAGCCTTCTCCTTCCACACAGGGCAGAGTCCAGAGAATGGAAGCACTATAGCCTCCAGCACAGGCCCAAAGGAAAGCAGACACCAAGGAATTCTGTACTCCAGCCCAGCCCTGCTGAGGAGCACCAAGGGCAGCCCCAGCATCTGTACTGGGAATGTTACTGCTCACATGCATTGGTCTGGGATACGTCTCAGAAAGGGCTGTGTTGCCCTCTAAGTGAGTTTGTGTCATATGACCTCCAGTTGGATTGTGGCAGTATTAAACAAAAGAACAAAACTGTTTCTTCATCTAGTTCTTGGCTAATATGTCAGCAGAATGCTGGCACTTAAAGGACTTGTATTAGGTACAGCTCTCATGACTCTTTTTTCTTACCCTAAGTCAAATACAGAATGAAATTATTTCAAAAGGAATGTGATAAGTAGGTAACATCATTAGGGAAGAAGTAGAACCTGAACTGTAAGCAGGTTTGCTGACCTATCAATTCTCTGCATGACTCCTTAGCTCAGACTGCGCTGTGTACTTGCATCTCTAAAGCAAGCACTACTCTGAAGTGTTTCTGAGCACTTTGATGTTGAATGCTTGTCAGGTGCAGTCTCAAAACCATGTAAAATAGTAATAGAAAAAAAACCCCAAACAATCAAACACACAGGAATGCCACAAACTGCAGAAAACCCCACCACACTCTTACAACAGAGCCTAACCTTCCCCCCGCCATACCTAAACACATATTTTAAATATCACGAACATATTTTGGGATACAAGTGAGCATCTTTTTTCAAAAACAAATCCATAGAACCCACTGTCCATTTGCAGAGGAATTTTAAATATGCAAGGCTTTGGTTCAATAGAAAAGGAAATGGCTTTCTTTTACAAAAATGACTGAATTTGACATGAATAAGAGACATTAATGGAAAAAAATAACTCCCTCAAGAAATCTTCCTTTAGGCTACAAAAGAATCAAATTTGTATGTATTTTATTATAAAATTACTTAAAATAAAAACAAGGGGAAGCTTTTTCTACTGTGCTCTGTTATATTTGACATTTTATTTCTCCAATCCACTCTGAAAAACCTCTCAGTCATTTAATCACCCAATTTGAAATCTCACAGTTGATGAAAAGTACTGATTTTTAAAAGCGATTGTGTAGCTTTCAGTTGACGGGCAGCAGTTCTCTTTTGAGAGGAGCTGGAGACTGCCCTTACCAAGGAAAGGAGTAGGAAGTGTGTAGCCCTCTGAAGAAAGAAGGGCTTTAAACAGAATTCTGTGCTGCAGCTGAGCTACAGTCTGTGTTAAAGAGACAGGTATTCTACTCCTTACATAGATTTTTTTTCCCTCCCTTTTTTTCCTCCAGCTGATAGCATGTATGGACAAGATATTCTTGAAGTCAGAGTTCAACTTTGAACTTCCTCTGCTTTTAATTTTTTGGTTTTTTTGAGGGTAGGACCTATCTTCTTAACACATTTATTTTAAAAATTATTCAATAACTTAGATGTTTGAGTGGCCCTGCTGTTTGTAGTTTATATGGAGCCATTCCCATAATCAGAAACTACATTTAGGATCTCCTTTTTGCTGTGGGAAACATATGCAGAGTTGCTTGTTGTGCCAGCAGGCAACTATTAAAAGCAGAATTTCAAGTCAAGAGGCATCATATAGAGCAAGTTTTGCAAGGTTCCTCTGAAGCCAGTTGCTTAATTAACATTTTTTTTGAGCTGTCTGAGAAGACAAAGTACCCATCTCACAATTTAAAAGACACTAAACCAGAAAGATTTTATAGGATTTTGCCAGACTTCATATAACCCTGTCACTTGCAAATCAGCTAAAAACCTTAACATTACCTCTCTATTATGGGCAGAAAACTTCAGGCTGATGTTGTAGAGAAATTGCTCTTTTCCCAGGAGCTCAAAGTAACTGCAAAACAAGCTTAAGTATTTCCCAGCCTTTTCCTAGACCTATCTGTGATAAGCCCTAATCATCACCCAGGTGGTACAAGAGTCCCCAGATCACATTTCATTAGCAACTGAATGAGTTCAGCCCTATAGATGTTGTGTCATGATGAAGCTATAAATCTTATTGCTCCATTAAATCCACCTCCAACAGGCAAGAACTGAAAATGTGACTGCAATCTTTGATTACTGTTTTCATTAGCATAACTTTAGAAGACTAAAAGTAACATAATCATTAAATCCTTTTGTTGCTGTTGTTGTGAACCAAATACTTAAGATAGGTAACTTACATAATTTGTTTAGAAGCTTTCAGAATCAAATTGAACAGGAAATTTTAATATCTTGAAGGAAAAACTGGAATGCTTACTAGTTCCCATATTTTTACTTATTAATCCTTTTAGGTGGTTTATGTCTTCAAAAGGAAAGAAAGAGCAATTTTTCACTGTAAGTATCTAGAAGATAAAGTTATGGGTACTATTTTATGGATTAGATATCTCTGTTTAAAAACAATGTTGGAATAAGGTTGCCAGACATTGTACAGTACAGAGTTAAAATAGTGAATTCTATCAGAATTGCAATCATGACATTTCATCTCAAATCTGTGCCTCTTTGAGAATTTTTTGTTAATAGCTGCACAGTGGAGGCTGGTGTTTTGTAGTGACGTGACTTACAGCTCCATTGTACTTGTTGCAACATGTATTGTGCTTTTGTTACTGCTATTTGTTGCTGCATTTCTTACTTGCTGACTTGCCAGGCATATGGGTCCATTGAGGAGTCAAGGTGTGGGTGTTTGTCTGCATAGTACAGACTGTGGGACTGGCATCTGTAAATGTCACTACAGAAGGTAGTGCCTCTGAGAACTGGTGGGTACCAGAAAAAAAACCCCTCATATTTTAACGGTTGTAAGCAGGAATTTAAAAAACTTCAAAGGTTTGAGACTGCTCTTTAGAAACTGCAAGAAGAGGTGACTGTAAAAAAATCCCTGAGATTAGCTCTGGTCTTGCTTGCAATTTATAGTAGCTTGCAATTTATATAGTTTAATGTCTTATGCTGAGAAAAAATCTACTATTGCTCTTTTTTTTCCTCCCATTAATAAGAATCCACTTGGCAGATAGTCAGAGCTGAGAAGTATATTTGGTATGAACCTTCAACTGCAAACATAGAATGTCCACAGAGCTATACCTCATTCCATATAGTGGTTCTTGAGCATGATTCTTTGTTGGCATGTTACACCAGAAATTGCAGGGAAGCAAGACTGCTTGCTGCTACCTGTTGGGT